AAAAGAGCCTAAGACGATCTACGGCGGCGGTACATTCCCGGTTTTATTCTATTCTAATAAACGTCGTTCTAGTGACCACAAATCCGCATTATTTAATTAAAGGTGATCTCCACCTCCCGATCCATAGTTAAGTGTAACAATTTAAACATTCATTACAAATATCAGATTATCAGAGTATTTGTATAAAAATGAAACAGTACGCTATTAAGGAAACAGTTATTTAACATTTGAGTGACACTGGTGTTTTTTTATTAATTAATTCTAAGTTAATTCTTTGCAATATGCTGATCGATTATATTCCAGGTGTCACTGAAACTAAACGAGCCTGTACATTCGTTACACAATTGTCATTTATTGGCGAACATGCGTAACTATTTTTTATTAATAGAACGATTCTTGTTCTTACTTTGTCAGCAGAGATGGCATTCGTCTGACTGAAGGGTGCCCCAGTAGAAAGCAAGGGAAACGTTGCCACACAATGGTCTGTTTCCTCATGCCTCAGATCAGTCAGATGTTCCAATTTTCGTAAGGTTTTTCCGACGCAGATCTTTTGGTAGTTATGGCATTTGATCTTTTAAACATTCATCATTCATTCTTTATGATTTATGAAGTTTCCAGTCGATCTGCAGTCAAAATAAATCGTTTATTTTGAAGATTCGAAAACTTTCATTCTCCAGATACTGTCTGATTTTGCTATAGTTATGAATAATGGGGATGAGTACAGTGAAATTGCCTTTATTGTTGCGTCCTGTTTAACGTGAAGAGAGGTTTCAGTAAATGCCATGTGATTAAGTTATTCACGTTATTCATTCTTGGTCACCCTAAGAGATTAGCTTGCTGTTATTTACAGTATTTTTTAAAATGAGTACAAAACGGCATAAGCACATGTTTGAATGTTAAGGTTTACGATCAACTGCGGACTGAATTGTTTTTCATTTTTAACGCCGGTGTGAGATCGAAGTCTAAAAATCTGATTTGGCTTCTATACTTTTTCCACTGTGTAATTGATCCTTTTAGACTTATCAAAAATTGTCAGGAAACGTTTAAACATATGCACACGGTCAAGGATTGCGGTAACCTTAAATACCTCCAAGATCTTATCTGCAAACTTTGGGATACCAAGGGTTGTAACGAATTCATTCGATTTTGCAGCATGGATGTCTGGATTTGGTCCATATATAGATCTTTAACCGCTAAAATGATCCAAGATCCGGTGGAAATTCCAGTCGTCTGATGTTGATCTGTGCTTCCTAGAACTGCTTAAAATGCCTGAGGGGATTTTCTAATTAAATTATGTTGCATACGTTTAGTACATTGTGTTTTGCTCCTTAGTAGTGCTTATTACACGAGGTAGAATTTTATCCATCAAACGTCTCGTTTTAACGTTGTTAAGCGGCACTGTTACGCCAGAAGCCGTCGAGTACACCGTACTAGAATTGAACAAAAGGGTTTTGAAGCAGGAGCTCTGAGGAATCGAACAGCGAAGCATTCTGGCGTCATTTGTCATGCTTTTTACATTGGACACTCCTTTAGTTTGACGAATCTCACTTCTACTGACAAAGAAAGAACGAATATCGGGCTGTTAATTAAAAAATCTTTTCACGTATTGAGTAACAAGCAATAGAACTGCACAACAAATGTACGAGTTTATTTAGTTAGTGACATCTGGAAGGCCATCTGACAGTCTGTTTGACATCAACTAATGAAACAGTGGAAGCTGTGATGCAAATATGACGTTATTGTTTTCCATAACTGATGTTTCATTTGTATATTATTACCTTGATGGCACGTCACGAACGCGAGGCAACTACTATTTGCTCAATCGACCGGCGGAAAACCGAAAGGACGGCCAAGATTAATTTGGAGCAGATGTTTCGAGACATTCTGTTGCA